GAAACGGGCAGGTAGAGGGACCAAGGACTAGTTAATTAGCAACTAACTAATACTGTGCACTTCCCAGCTGCACGTACAGGAAATTTTCCAGGCGTTGTATAGAATGCAAATATTCGTGCGACTAAGTATATATGTGTGTTCATTGAATTGTAGGTGGCAGAAAAGGAAGGAATTAGAGAATTTTTTGAGTCAAGCTTCTCTAAAGATGCCAGACCACATATCAAGCTGCCTGTATATCGACGTTTATTAAAAAAAATTTTGAGGTTTTTCATGCTGGTTGACTACATATTTCAGGAGCTCATCCGCCAGCTGATGAACACTGCAGTCACTCTACTTTTGGAATTATTTCATAGTTCTGCTAGAATGCCATTTTCAGCGGAAAAAAGGAATGAAAACCTAATCAAGTAAATCATATTTTCTTTTTACTGATAAAAGGAATTTGTAATCATAGCGTTGCAAACATTGATTGTCCATGGTAGAGGAAATAGCCTATAGTTGAAGTGAGAATTTGAAAAATCTTCTTATAGCAAATTGTATGTGCTCCATTTTTACAATTACCTGGCAATACTTTGCTTAATACTGTCTGTAACATTTAAGAAAAGTTTCCAATATTTCTTCAAAATTCTGCATATGTCTGATGGCCATATAAAATATGGGGTGTCCAGTACAATTTGAAGTTCAGATATGTAATAATGTTTTAGTATGTCTCAAATATTGCCTATCCTAAAAATTATCGTTTGTTTGAAATTCCAGTTCAGCTGGGTGTTTTGTACTTTCATTTGCTAACTCTGGAAATTCTGTGTATAGGGCTAATTCAACGTCCAGGGCTAGTTCTTAAAAATATCAGGGTGATTCGAGAAGGAAACCATAAGCTTCCATTGGAATTTGGGTCAGTTCTGCTTAAATGAGACATACGAATTTTTCATGGTAGTAAAATATAAATAACAAAATTTACCATTTTTAAATATGTAATTCAGCGGCATTAAGTACATTCAGTCTTGTGCAGCCATCAACGTATTCATTTCCAGAACTTTTTCATTATCCCATTCTTAAATGTTATGAGACTCTGCACCCATTAAACAGTCACTCCTTGTCCTATGTGTACACCCCCCCCCAAGCCCTTGTAACCTCTGTTGTCTTTTCTGTGACTAGGAACTTACTATTCTGAGTACCTCAGATAAGTGGAATCATACAATATTTATCTTTTGCGTTTGCCCTGTTTCATTTAGCACCATGTATTTAAGGCTCATCCGTGATGTAGCATGTAACAGAATTCCCTTTTTAAGGCTGTATAATATTCCATTGTGTAGATATACCATGTTTTGTTTGTTTGTTTGTTCATCTGTTGATGGTAGTTGGGTTAGCCTCTTGGCTATTGAGCCACGCCAGCTGGGCGAAGCTGCAACATTTTAATTTCCACCAACAAAGCACCAGGCTTCTACCTCACCAACACTACTATTTTCCTTTTTACATAGTCATACCCAGCCTAATTGGTATGAAGGGATATCTTGTTATGGTTTCGATTTGTAATTCCCTAATGATTCGTGATTCCCTAACGATTCATTTCTTTACAGAGAGAAAGGGAGAGAGATAGAGAGTTAGAAACATCGATGAGAGAGAAACATCAATCAGCTGCCTCCTGCACATCTCCCACCGGGGATGTGCCCGCAACCCAGGCACATGCCATTGACCGGAATCGAACCTGGGACCCTTCAGTCCACAGGCCGACGCTCTATCCACTGAGCCAAACCGGTTTCGGCAAGGGATATCTTGTTATGGCTTCGATTTGTAATTCCCTAACGATTCGTGATGCTAAGCATATTTCTTTGGGGGAATGTCTAGTTATGTTTTGTGGATATTAACAAGATAACAAGAATTTAAAAGACTGTATTTTTGCTTCCCATTTCTTAATCTAGAACATACAAGGATATCTTTGCTCTTACTGGAAGGATAACAAATGATAATGAAGAACTTGTTATTAATTCAAACATATATGCTACTGCTGTTCCAAAGTCAGACTTAAAAGCAGAAGCGGATATTAATGAGGTAAGTGGTCTTTGAAAAATATAAACACAGATTTTTAATGAATGAATAAGCGAAAAGTAAGTGAAATAAGTTTGGAAATTAAAATGTGATTTATGATTAACCCCTTCCCCGGCAGAAACGTGTATACACGTTTTCACAAAATGTTCTTTTTTCAGTCGTCGACGAGTATACTCGTCTAAAAACTTTACCTTCAAAAACCAGCTACATACGTACCATTCTAAATAATTTCATCTAGAAACTTTCTGAGGAAATAGTATTCTTAACCACAAAAATGGGAAGAAAAAATAATTACAAACTGTTTTCATAACCAGCATCAAAAATACTATATAGAACCAAAATAAAAAAAAAATTAGTCTGAAAAAGAAACGTTTTTAACAAAAAAATTATTGGGGAAGGGGTTAATGCTCAATTTCTTACCCAAAACACACACACAAAGGCACACACACACACACACCTCTGCTTCCTCTATAGAAAGCTATATTCACACTTACCTTCATGCATTATTGGGTTCTTACTATGTACCAGGCACTGAAGTAGGCACTGAAGTAGACCAGTGGGCAGTGCTAATGAAAATACCCGGCAGAGGTCATTTTCCAGAGCAAGCGATGCCACACTTTATATATTCGTTGGGAATTGCGGTGTGGACTTCTTTATTGTGGTAAAACAGCAGAAAATGGGCCACTTGAACCACTTGTCAGCGGACAATTCAGTGGCATCGGTGCGTTCCCAGTACGGTGCGACCATCACATCCCACTTCCAGGACTGTCTCGTCCTCCCACACAGGAACTCTGTCCCCGTGCGTGTAGGACTTTTAAGGCTTGCAGGTTGCCGTCTGCATCCACCTAAGCTCTTTCCCCAGAGCTTCACCGGGTGCCAGTGGCGTTTCTTTACACGTTAGCTGCCTCTGTTCATAACCTAGAACAGGTTGGGGTTCTAGCAGGTGACTCCGGTGCCTACATCGAGACACACCCCTCCAGCACAACCAATCACTTCATGGACGTGAGGGATCAATCAATCGAGAACTCAGGCCTAGACAGAGCCTACAAGCAGTCACATTGTGTGAATACAATATCGATACCTCAGACCCTCCTGGTTCTCGGTGGGGATGCCTGTACTAACGTGTGTGTCAAAGTGAGGAGCTATGACCTGGGGCAGTGAATGTGAAATATATTCCTGATGTGTACGTCCTGAGCCTGGGTGCCCACTAGCATCACCTGATCAGCTTTTTTTCCTTTTTTAAAAAAAAATATATATTTTATTGATTTTTTTTTTTACAGAGAGGAAGGGAGAGGGATAGAGAGTTAGCAACATCGATGAGAGAGAAACATCGATCAGCTGCCTCCTGCACACCTCCCACTGGAAATGTGCCTGCAACCAAGGTACATGCCCTTGACCGGAATCGAACCTGGGACCCTTCAGTCCGCAGGCCGACGCTCTATCCACTGAGCCAAACCGGTCAGGGCAGCTTTTAAGTGGTTCAGATTCCTGGCCTTGACCCCTCACCCTTTAACTCAAAATCTCTCGGGATGGGGCCTAAGAATTTGTATGTATTAAGCTCTAAAATGATTAATATTGGGCCACTCTGGTATCCGTTTATACAGTTTTGGGGAAAATACTGCAGTATTTCATTTATTTTTCCATTCACTTTAAAAAAAAAACAAAAACATGCAAATAGCAGTTATCTGGCAATACAGTGTTACTCGGTTAACCTGAAGTTATTATTGATCATGTAAAATTTAAGACTGTATTATCTAAATGTCCTTTTACCTCTATATTATCACCAGAACTGTAACCTCTCTGTCACCTTAGGTTTTCAATTCCATTAAATTGGATAAGGACCTGACAAAATACGCACCGGTATTTGAAGTCAATCTACACTTGAGAATTCCTTCTGAGAGGGATTCTTTGAGCAGCTCCAGAGAGAGCTTCCAGGAATCCGAGCGGTCCTCGGAGAAATCCGCGCTGTACCAGGAGGAGGAAATGCCAGAGAGTGAAGTCAGCAGCGTCAAACCCTCCAGCGATGAGCTGCTAGTGATGCGGCCGAAACCCACCACGTTGAGCCTCGTAGAAATCCTTTCAGGTGAGATGAATGAGACGGGGAAGCCCAAAGGGAATAGCCTGACACCTGGGGCATCACAAGGGAGAGAAAAAGACATCGTTAGGGATTAGCGCTCGGCAGGTGGTGATGTTGAGCAAGGTCGAAGGAGGAGGCCCCGAGGAAGTTTAAACGGAACAGGCCATTCGTGGTGGATGCGAGCAGGAGCGCCTTGACCCATTTTTTTAAAAATACATTTTATTGATTTTTTACAGAGAGGAAGGGAGAGAGATAGAGAGTTAGAAACATCGATGAGAAAGAGACATCGATCAGCTGCCTCCTGCACACCCCCGGCTGGGGATGTGCCCGCAACCCAGGTACATGCTCTTGACCGGAATCGAACCTGGGACCTTTCAGTCCGCAGGCTGACGCTCTATCCACCGAGCCAAACCGGTTTCGGCGCCATGACCCATTTTTTAATCTTAATACCACTGGTCGCTGAGGGGGACCCAAGGAGCCCCCCCTCACGAGGACGGACAGCACCTGGGGTGCTCGTTAACATGCGCACTCTCGGACTCCATCTGAGACCTCCTTAATCAGATTTGGGGGTGAGGCGGGGTGGTGCTGGCTGGACGCTGCCTTTCCAGGTGATTCTTAGGGTGTTTGGGAAGCACTGATTACATAGCAGCTTGTCCTTTAGCCGATATAAATATCAATCAATTTTTTTCTTCTCTTTCTTTCAATGGATTCTAATAGATATAGAAGCCATGGATGATTTCGATAATAAAACCGAGAACGATGAGTAAGTAGCACACGCTTCTGAAATTACAACTAATTAGACTTGACGTTTTGTTCCGGCACCGTGTTGAAATTCGCTCTCATCGTTTTCTCCCGTAGGTTTTTAGAATTCCCTACGAATCTCTTAATTGCTCCCAACAGACTCGACCTCTCAATAAAAATTCAGAATATGCTGGCTGATCTTGAGAAATGCATAAGTAGGTATTTTAAGTGTTTCATTACATACATTGTACCCTTCAGCAATATTTTCTTAAATTTAGGGATTGGGAGCTTTTACCCAGGTATGTGGCGGACATTACGGTATATTAGAGATCATGGATTCACACTCTTTGGGATCAATCGATGTGAATTTGAAGTTATTTGAGCATGTGGGAATTAGACACACAACCATAGAATCAGGAAAATTGTGGAGGCTTGGATTTCTTTTTTTTTCAATAATGTACTACAGAATTTTATGAGACTTAATATCTTCTATATCAGCAAAACAAAGATATTGTTTCCACCTTAAGTAGATTTTTTGTTGTTGTTAATCCTCACCTGAGGACAGTCTCCATTGCTTTCAGAGAGAGTGGAAAGGAGGGGGCGGAGGGGGGGGAGAGAGAGAGGAAAGAGAGAGAGAGAGAGAGAGAGAGAGAGAGAGAGAGAGAGAGAAAGAGAGGTGAAAGAGACACATTGATCGGTTGCCTTTTGCATGTGCCGCGACCAGGGCCTGGCATCAAACCTGCAATCCAGGTACCTGCCCTTGACCCGGGAGTCGAACCCGAGACCCTTCAGTGTGTGGGCCAACGCTCTATCCACTGAGCAACACTGGCCAGGGCTTAAATAGATTTTTATTAATGCTGTTCCAGCTGGGTGTACACAGCCTGACATGACATGGCAGTCACCAGCCTGACCCATGAGTTGATCCCTTCTCCACAGTCTCAGTCCATCCTGGAACACAGGACCCGTTGTGGCTCCCTGAATGCAGCATCATTCTCCAACCACATCACCGTAGTTTGCTGAGTTCAGAGATCCCTCTTTCTAAACTGGTATCCAATTCACTGTTTGTTTTTTAAAATATGTTTTTATTTATTTCAGAGAAGAAGGGAGAGGGAGAAAAACATCAGTGATAAGAGAGAATCATTGATCGGCTGCCTCCGGCATGCCCCCTACTGGGGGTTGAGCCTGCAAGTCTGGCATGTGCCCTGGTGACCTCCTGGTTAATAGGTCAACACTCAACCACTGAGCCGCACCGGCCGGGCTCCAATGCATTGCTTGATTTCCTTTT